TAGTACGAGTTTCCAAAAACCTACTCTTATCACCGGCGAAATTTCAAGATTACATATTAATCCGATCAGTTAGTTAGTTAAACATTTTCATACTATGGAGGGTATATTAACTTTGTCATTCCGTTTGTAACTCCTCGAAATACTTATGTCAGACCCCACATAGTATTAAGGCAGGTTAAGTTCTTAAATGGGCCACGTTTTAAATAACCTCCATAAAACGGCACCCCCGATATTCGGTATTTTGATGATTTTAGCGATTTAGATTTTGGTATTTGAAGTTCGAAATAGATACAACAGCCTATGACAGAAAATTGTCTGTGCAGGTCCACGTCTTTGTATAGCCGCCATATAACGGTACCTCCCAATATTTGGTATTTTGATGATTTTATCGTCATTATTCACCGGAGTAGTTTCAAATTACGTATTTAGAGTTCGTAATGGGAACTACAGTCCGTGACAGAAAATTGCGTATGCAGGTCCAGGTCTTCGTATAGGCCCCATATATCAGTTCCTCCCTGTATTCGGTATTTTGACGTGTTTAGGTACAACACTCACCAAAATTGTTTGAGATGTCATATTTGAAGTTCGTAATGAATGCAACAGCCTGTGACAGAAAATTGTATTTGCAGGTCCACGTCTTCGTATAGGCTCCATATACCAGTACCTCCCTATATTCGGTATTTTGACGAGTTTAGGTACAACACTCACCAAAATTGTTTGGAATGTCGTATTTGAAGTTCGTAATGGATGCTACAGCCAATGACAGAAAATTGTCTATGCTGGTCCAGGTCTTCGCTCAGCTCCAATATAACGGTACGATGATGATTTTGATGATTTTAGCAACATTATTCCCAGTTGACAAACAATGCCCGTGTGGGTCCACGTCGTATAGATACCAATATAACGGCTATATTCGGTACTTTTAAAATTTTAACAGATTTTTTTAAGGATCCTATTTTCAAATTCGTTCCAAATGGTGGAGGGTATTCAAAGTTCGGCCCGGCCGAACTTACTGCTTTTTAACTTGTTATTTGTTACTATAAACTTATTTTCTCTGCTCACTATCTCGGTTGCGAGAAGTAATGGCAACAATACCTTTATTCTGTAATAAGTTGAATTTACTTTAAGGCGGCTACACAAAGGAACTTGAGCAATAGGATTTGAGTTCATGAACTGTACGCGAGAATATTTATTGTAGTTTTTCTTTTTTTTTTGTGAAAATTACTTTAAGACGATTACGCACGAATGGTGGGAGACAAACATGGAATTCGTCACTGCTGGACTTCTTTGTACACTGGGAGTCATAAGGAGGGTTTTATTTGGAGACAGCCGATCTTATTCAGTTTTTTAGGGCACAATTATTTGTGTATTATATGAAAAGATAAAAATCTACAAATGTATTGTTATGAACAGTTACAAATGTAAGTCATTTCCCATGTGTATTTCAAAACATTGTTTTACCTTTGGCCGCTACTAATAGCCGTAGCCATAATTCACACAGATTTGCAAAATGTGATGCATTTCAATGAAATTTGAAACCTTCAGCTAATTAGTCGAGGAAGATCAAATTGTCGCCATGAAATCATATCATACAATGCTGCCTGCAATTAAATCCATGAAACAAAAAAAGTAAATATCCAAAAAAAAAAAAAAAAAAAAAAAATCATAAAAAATGTCATGGAGAGCAGCTACAGTAGCTACATTTTTGCAAAAACTGCAAATATTGTCTCCAAAAAAATCATTTTGTAATCCACGTGGAAAGAGATCGTAAAAATATGAAACTGTTTTGTGGCGTAGCTAATGTTTTTTTTTTCTGAGGCAAATATTTCAACCCACTAAATACATGTGTGTGTTTGTGCATTTAATTGTGCTGATCTTTTGCTTTGCATTTGTTTTTCTTAATTTGTTCTACTTTTGCCTGAATTTAATTTTTTTCGTTTACGGCAATTTCACTTCTTCATAAACAAGCTGCGTTCCATGCGGACAATTATCAGGTCATTATTAATTAACATCTTGGAAAGCTATTTGCACTCATGTGATCGCAAGTGAAATGTAACCAGTTGTGCAATAAAATGTTTAAGTGTTATTAATAGTAAAGTAGAAGAAGATGCTAAGCATCTTTTTTACACTGGGCAACAAAAATGTACGCTCATCAATTTTGAATATAATTAGATGTCTGAAAATGGGTTTTGTAGAAAATTAATAATCCTAAATGATCGTAGGCGAATGATTAATGTACAAAAATGCAAGTGTATATATTACTCATACGTCAAGGATAAAATTCTCTACGTTTTAAAAATGTTAAATAGGGTAAGTGTGCCTAAGTTCGGCATGTCCCAGTAGTCGGCAGTTTTGAAATTTAAACTTAAATAACTAAGAATAGAATTGACCAAATAATGAAATAATTGCAAAAAAACGTCAACAGTGTTCTCTGCTCTCTTTCTGTAAAAAACAATGAACTCCGATCATTTATTACGAGAGAATAACGGTTTTCGTCAGAGAGTGTCTTCCAACGCGTGCGATAGTGCTTGTTTGTAAAGAAAAAATTAGTGGTGGCGTCAACTTAATAATCGATTTAAATAAATTAAATTTAATACTTTTGGAATCAGAAATATTTCATAATATTAAATAACAGTCTAAAGATCATTTTATAACTTAAAAACATACAAATCAAGCATTTTTCTGTTACATTATTTAATGCCGACGTTAGGAGCAGAAAAAAAGAAATTTGCCAGTAGTCGGCAGGGGGTGCCGATTACTAGAAAAATATCATTTTTGACCAAATTTGAGAAAAGTATTAAAAAATAATCCAAAAACTATTTAAATAAAAAAGTTTTTGTCGGCAGTTGCTTCTATTTGTGCTTTTTGCCAACTTTTCTAAATTAAGTAGGTTTTTTAATCAGCTATTTGACACATTACATAGCGGTGGCATTTTTGAAAAAAATGTTGGCTATCTAAAGGGAAGATATCAATTCACAAATTCCAAATATAAGAAAGGTACTTTTTTCCTTTTTCATTTAATCTCATTTTTATTTTAATTGAAAATCCATACGTTACTGAAGGTAACCATACTTTATATTTTAGAATGATAATTAAATAAAACACTATTTAAAAACGAAATTAATTTCAAATTCTGGATTGAACTGTGAATTAGTAATATAGCATTGTTTTATAATATTTGAATTAAAAAAATATACGAAATAATATTTTTTTTACTGAAATACCATATGCCGACTACTGGCAAATAGACATGCCGAGCATTGGAAAATGGTGCCGACTACTGGCAGAAAACTATTATTTCAAAATTCAATTGTTGTTTATTATTTCGAAAACTAAACAAAATGTGGAATCTGAACAACTTTATTTTTCTGCAATTGAAAGATTTCACTTAGAATGTTGAAAGATTGAAAAATGGAAAATCCTAAAAGTGCCGACTACTGGTACACTTACCCTATATATATATATATATATATATATATATATATATATATATATATATATATATTATAATTTTTTTTTTTCATTTTTCCGACCATCTGACAAATGGTTCAACATACAGCCACGGCGGCGAGCTAAAATGGTTGTTTAAAGTCTTACTTCAACAAATCATCACATTTTCCTATTTTTATACCCTCCACCTTGGAAAAGAAAGGTATATTAACTTTGTCATCCCGTTTGTAACATCCCTAAATATTCGTCGTAGACCCCACATATATATTCATATATTTACAATCAGCATAAAATTCTAAGTCGATTTAACGATGTCCGTCTGTCTGTCTATCCGTCTGTCTGTCTGTTGAAATCACGATACAGCCCACATTATTTGACGTAGAGGGTCAAAATTTAGCGGAACAATTTGTTTTGTATCTAGGATCATTGGTATGGGAAATGTGATATATCGGCCCACGTTTTGGTATAGTACCCATATAACAGAACCTCCCGATATTCGACATTTTGATGATTTTTGCCACATTTTTTCACGGATTTGTGTGATAATTGGTGAATTGACCTGCAAATCATAATGGGTCTTAGTTTGTGTTGCGAAATATTGTATGTATAGTTCCACGCTTTGGTATAGCCCCCATATAACCGTACCTCCCGATATTCGGTAATTTAATTATTTTTGCCACATTTTTTACAGATTTTTCTGAAAATTGGTATTTTTAGGTCATAAAGGGTCCTAGTTCGTGTGGCGAAACATTGTATGTATAGGTCCACGTTTTTGTGTAGCCCCATATAGTGGTATTTCCCGATATTCGATAATTTTTGCCACATTTCTTCGCGGATGATTGGTTCTAGTGGATAATGGGTTCTACCTCCTTTGGCGAAATATTGTATGTATAGGTCCACGTTTTTGTATAGCCCCATGTAGTGGTATTTCCTGATATTCAATATTTTGATGATTTTTGCGACATTTTCCCACGAATATGTCTAAAAATTGGTATTTGTGGGTCATAATGGGTTCTAATGTTTCCTTTGCCCTAAGGTAGAGGGTATTAAAAGTTCGGCCGAACTTAATTTTTTTACTTGTTTTTTTTTTTTTTTGTACCGAATCTTGAACTCAATGCAGAATGTAATTACTTTTTTCATTTTTGTTACTCATATATACAGTCTAATATTCTTTTCTACGCATAAATATCATAGAATTTTAAAATAGTCTCCAATCTACTCCAAACTAAGCCTAATCCAATATTTCTACGAAATGTTGATATACTGTGATATTTGGGTATGTATTGTTACTCCTCTGGTACATTTCCCATGGACGTTTGAAAAATTCTCTTGATATTTTGACCTGTTCTGATTTAGTTAAAATGCGTTTTTTCAGTTGTTGTTTGGAAATAAAAAAATTAATTTTGTTGCACAGCCGAATAAATAAGCACAATAAACATTACGCTAAAAAAACAATAATTTTGATAGCGGAAAATGAAAATTGATTTTATTATGAAAAAAAATTGTATTATGTTACCAATAACAAATTTTTAACTTTTTTCTATTTTTAGCATAAAACATCTAACATAAAATGGCGAATGCAGGATACACATGCATAAGAAGGACGTTTTGTTGGCTGAATATTTTGTTATGGGTAAATATGCACCTTATTATTAACAAATCGGCTACTACTGTTTCAACAACAGGCCGTTACACAAAAAATATATTTTCAAATATTTAAACCCCACCTTGACACAGCTATTTGAGAGGAATTATTTGCAGTCCCCCCTCATACCTTCAAAGTCAAAACTACTGTGACCATACGAATGTATCTTCGCATTCAATAAATACAAAATTAGCCTTCATCGCTTTGTCAGATCAACATTCAACGGCCTTTAGAAAGTTGTTGCAGTGCGAGCGTGTGTATGAGCGGCTCTGTGAATGAGAAGAGCTAATCATTTATTTATTTGTCTGCAAAGTTTTTCATGCCAGTCAATGCTACTGAATTCAAAAACCTGTTGAATACGACAGTCAACAATGTTTGAGTATGAATGAACAGCAGCAACAACATCATCGACTACAACAGAGACTATTGACTGTTCGTTGCCACCGCCATGCCATCATCGGCGTCATAAGTATTAACCACAAACAAGAATTGCAACAACAACAGCAGTGTATGTACGTCTGTACTAAAGTTACTGCAACTGCAACAATCCATTGTTGTCAAAATAGTCTGCTACGGAAATTGCATTGTTGACAAAGTTTTTATTTTTTTTTTTTTTTTGTTTGATAATGTGTTATTGCTATTGTTGTTCTTCTTCTACTACTCTTATGCAGCGTTTGTGGCATTGCAACAGTTTTGGCTGAGAAGAGTAGATATGTCGTATGGTATTTCAAACCGCAGTAGATGGTTATGCATGAATTTGTGGTTTGGAAAGGTGATGCTTTTTCCAGTTTTTTTTTTTTTTCTTTTTTAAATTTATAAGAAAAAATATTTAAAAATACATTAAACTTTGGGAGGAAATTTACAAAAAATGAAATTTCCATGAAAAATAGTGAAAAAGTAGCAGAGAAGTGGTTTCTGAATGGGAGGCCCCAGGTCTCCCAGCTTTATATATTTCGAAAATTCTTTAAAAACAAATGTATCTCGAGTTGCGCCACAAATGATAATTACAACAAAATTTTTGAAAGTAAGGCTAACACACTTTATTGGTGTATAACAATACGAGGATTAGGTTGGTCCAAATTGGTATAAAAGAGTAGTGAAATAACTGACTGACTGATCTAGAAATAACGCTCAGAAAGAGCGGCTGAAGCTCAAAATCTTGAAATTTTGCATGAGGGCTAGTCTTGGTGGATTACTGAGAATTCACACTGAAAGGGTACGAAAATTACTAAAACGTACAAAACAATTAATAATTTGTATTGGACAAAAGGAATAAGCAAGAATTAGTCAGTCTTTGTGGGTTATTGGGTATTCGTACTAAAAGGGTACTAAAATGTACAAAAAATATAATACATTGTATTGGACAAATGTAATGAGCTAGAATCCTGAAATTGGGAAAAAAGATTCACTGATGGAGTGCAGGATAGATGTACCAAAGGTTTTTTGGAAATTCGAACTTTATGGTATCAGTTCTAAAATAGTACTAAACTTCAAAAATGGTACGATGTGGTGTTATATAAATTTAAGAACTTGAAGTTTGGTATGAGAATCACTGTTGGAAAATAATTTTGATATATATAAGGTGGTTTTAGATATGTGTACAAAATGTGCGAACTGTGCTAAACGGTACTAAATTTGGAACCGTTTGGTTTAGGGTGAACGGATGCAGCTGGAAATTTGAAATTTTGTATTGGTGCCCCTGTTGGTGGTAGGTTTGTAATACAAAGGCGATTTTTGAAATGTGTGCTACAAGTGTTAGAAAAGTACTAATATGTACTATATTTGGTACAATGTGGTATTGGATGAAGAGAAATTGATTGAAATATAAATTTGTTATTAGGGTAGCTGTTCATGGCTAGCCTGGAATAGGGATAGAGAAAAAATTTTGAAATGTAATATTTAGATTACAAATTGTATATGTGTTTCAGATCTGGCAGGATTTTGGAAATTCGTCCTATATTTTTACGAAAAGTACTAAATGGTACTAAAATTGATATTGGGTGAAGGAATAGGGCTGGAATCTTCAAATTTTATATTGAGGTCTCTACTGGTATCGGGAATTGACATATGTATGTGCTTTTGGAAATGTGTACTATAATTGTACAAATAGTACTAAATGGTACTAAACGTGATATTGGGCGAAGTAATAGATTTAAAATCCTAAAATTAGAAATTGATGTCACTGTTGGTGCCTGCTATTAAAATATGGAGGTGGCTTTGGGAATGTGTACTATAATTGTCCGAAAAGTACTAAGTGGTACTAATTTGGCTATTGGGTGAAAGTTAGAGCTGAAATCCCGAAATTTGTTACTGAGGGCTATGTTAGTATCTAGAATTGATATATGGGGATGGTCTTGGAAATGTGTACTACAATTGTACGAAATGAAAATGGTACTAACTTGAGGGTTGGATGTAGGGATAGGACTGGAATCCTCAAATCTACTGGTATCTAGGATTTGAGATATGGATGGGGGTTTTGGAAATGTGTACCATAGATGTTCGAAAAGTACTAAATGACATTAAATTTTGTATTGAGTGAATCGATATGGATGTCACTGTTGGTATCTGAGAGAAGGAGCTTGTTTTGGATATTCGTACTATAATTGTACTAAATGATACTAAATTTTGTAATGGGGGGTATTAAGGGGTTGAAATTTTAAAATTATATATTGAGGTCTCCGTCTGGTGGTTGTTTGGAAAATGTGTACTATAATTGTACGAAAAGTACTAAATTGGGTATTGAATGAGGAAGAAGAAGAATCCTCAAATTTGTTATGGATGCCACTGTTATTTTCTGCGGTTAAGAGAAGGAACTTGTTTTGGATATTTGGTAATGGGGGAAATTACAGAACTGAAATCCTGAAATTTTATATTAAGGTCTCTGTTGGTGTCTGGTGTTGAAATCGACCTAAATATATTTTTTAGTCTGAGAAATTTTGTGTGGAAAATGTTCCCCTTAACATTTTCTGTCTAAAAACTGATAAACAAATTGAAAATATTTTTGATTTTATTTTTATTTATTTATTTATATATTTTTTTTTTTTTTTTTGCAACAATGATGCCAATATGTTCTCCATGTATATGATGGAATATACATTTTTTCTTGATGATTTCTATTTTCATTTGAAGAAGAATTATTTTGTCTTTGATGCCATCCTTCTGGCGAATTGTTCATAAATTCTCTCTAATATGTGTTTTAAAATATATATGAATTTACTGAAATATATGTAATGTTTAGAATTTGATGCCATCTAGGAGTTATAGTAGAATTTTATAAACAAATAAATAAATTTGTAAAACGGATTCCCCAGAGTCTTAGACCGAAAATTTCAAAATGTGTGGAGAGCGGGTCATTATTTTGAACTGTATTTAATTTTTTAGCTCAACTTTCATAATCCGATTGCATTTTCCAGTAATTATTGAAGATTAGAGAATCTAAAATTTAAAATATTATTAATTATCTCCCAATCGGTACACTTTTTTTTGGGTGAAAAATTTTAAATATTCTAAAATTAGAAATGATTTATCGTTGGACTCCTTCTAGTGCCTTCCCCACAGGCGGTAAAAAACTCAAATAAAATGCAAAATCATTCCTTGTCGGCAAACCAACTGGAATTTTCTTAAAGCCTAAAACATAAACATTGAATGAAGTTGACTCCACCAAAGAACCATTTATTTACGCTACCGAAAAAATTCAAGTCATTTCTTTTAACAATTGAAATTATTTTCATTATTTTTAATAACAACCGTAGATCAGTCTTTTGCTCGGCTTCTTCAAATATTAATGACTTTCTCGTCGAAGAACATTAAAAGCAAACAAACACTACAACAACAACGACAATTAACATTGATGTGCGAAGTAAATGTTCAAAAATGTAATAAAAATTGACAAAACCAAGACGAACATTTTACTCAAGTTTTTTTTTTATGACTTTTTAAATTCACTTTCTCACCTTCCGTTCTTCTGTCTTCTTTTCCCCCAAGACAGAAAAAATCTTCTTTTCGACATTAAATAGAAAATTAAATACAAAATTTTAGTTGGATGCTTGAAATGATAATGACACTAAATTTTTGTTGCTTTTGCTGTTGTCCCCAACTCAAATCAAGACGTCCAACTTTCAATTACAAGCCAACATTTGTTTGTCTCTTCGTGCGCAGGCGCGTCAACGAATCCAATTCGCTGCTTAAGACTAAACGTGAGCGCGTCATTTACATTTTACAAAACTTCAATTGAGTTTATTGCCAAAGTAGAACGAACTGGCGAACGAATGCTGAAAAGAAAGAGGTACGTGTATCGGAATAATAATTGTGCCTCATCACAGCGGTTGTCATTGCTGTCATTGTTTTCCCTAAATTATTTCATTTCAAATGAATTCACACGTAATCATTTCACTTCAAATCTCCACAAATACACCATTTCCTGGGTCATTGGAAAATAATGACTTTTAATGTGATTTTGATTTTTATATAAAAAAAAAATTATATGAAATATATTCCCATCAGACCAAATATGTAAGGATTCTGAATATTTTGGGTAGGTATTTTTTATGCGTTACAATATTTTTCAGCTAGGACCCTAAAACTTTTGATGTGCTAACTGATCCGATGCAATAACATTCACTTGAAATTTATCACATATTCTCTACCAAATAGGGTGGGAAGGTGGTCTGGGGAGAAACTGTTACATAACAAGTAAAAAAGCTGTAAGTTCGGCCGGGCCGAACTTTTAATACCCTCCACCATTTGGTACAATTTTGGCAATTTCCAAAAAAAAAATAAATAAATAAAATCCGTTTAAAATTCTGTTAAAATCTTAAAAATACCGAAAGCCTATACGACGATGTAGTCCTGCATAGGCAACTTTTGTCATAAGTTATTACAATATTTAAATGCGAAACTTGAAGAAAAATCTGTTTATAATGTAGCTAAAATCATCAAAATACCGAATATAGGGGGTACCGTTATATATACGAAGGTGTGGACCTGCACAGACTATTTTCTGGTATGGTCTGAAGTATCTATTACGAACTTCACATGCGAAATTAGAAACAATCCCGGTAAATAATGTCGCTAAAATCATCAAAATACCGAATATCGGGGGGTACAGTATATGGGGGCTATACGAAGAAGTAGACCTACATGGCCCATTTGCTGTTTTATGCTGCAGTATCCATTACGAACTTCAAATACCAAATTTGAAACGATTTCGGTAAATAATGTCGTTAAAATCATCAAAATACCGAATATCGGGGGGTATCGTTATATGGGGGCTATACGAAGACGTGGACCTGTACAGATAATTTTCTATCTTAGACTGTAGTATCCATTACGAACTTCAAATGCCAAATTGGAAACAATTCCGGTTAATAATGTCGCTAAAATCATCAAAATACCGAATATCGGGAGGTACCGTTATATGGGGGCTATATGATAACTTGGACCTACATGGCCCATTTACGAACTTAACCTGCCTACTGGCAAAATATACATGTGTGCAAAATTTTAGCCTTCTATCTCAATTTGTTCGAAAGATAGCGTGATTACAACAGACAGACAGACGGACAGACAGACAGACACACAGACAGACCGACGGACATGGTTAAATCGTCTTAGAATTTTACGCTGATCAAGAATATATATACTTTGTTGGGTCTGACATGAGTATTTCGAGGAGTTACAAACGGAATGACAAAATTAATATACCCTCCATAGTATGGTGGAGGGTATAAAAACGTGAACCAGTACGGTCCATTTCAATATCTATGATTCTAGAAGTAACACAGCATCTATACAGCTCCATCTTCTACGTACTTATATATAAAAGAGTAGTGAAATAACTGACTGACTGACCGAGAAACAACGCCCAGACGAAAAGGCTGAAGCTTGAAATTTTGCACAAGGGTCAGTCTTGGTGCGTAGGCGTGTGATAAACTGAGTTTTTGAAATTCGTACTTAAATTGTACGGAAAGTACTAAAATTCACAGAAAATTTAACACGGAATGGGCAAAAATTCCGAAAATTTGAATGAGAGTCACTGCTGTAGTGCAGGAAGGATATATCAAAGGGTTCTGAGAAATTCAAACTTTAAGGTTACAAAAAGTTCTAAAATGGTACTTAACTTCAAAAATAGTACGAATGGGTCTTATGTGAGCGAATAAAGACATATGGAAATGGCTTCGGAAATATATACGATAAGTGTACGAAAAGTACTAAATGGTACAGGATTGGATATTGAGGTCTCTCTTGGTATCTGGGATTGAGATTTGAAGGAGGTTTTGAAAATGCGTCCTATATTTGTACGAATAGTACTAAATGGTATTACGTTTGGTATAGGCTGGAGGGATTGGTCTGTTATCCTGAAATTTTATATTGAGGTCTCTGTTGGTTTTTGGGATTAAGAAATAGGCCTGAAATTTGATATTGAGATCTCTGGTGGTATCTGGAGCTGAGATATGAAGTTGGTTTTTGGAACGTGTACTAAAATTGTACGAAAAGTACTTAGTGGTATTGGCTGAAGAGATAGAGCTAGAATCCCGAAATTTGATACTGAGGTCTTTGTAGGTATCTGGAATGGAGATACGGAGGTTGTTTTGATAATGTGTACTATCACTGTTCGCTTAATATTTTTACGAAAATTACCAAATGGTACTAAATGTTGTGTAGGGTGAAGGGATAGGCCTAGAATCGTGAAATTTTACATTGAGGTTTCTGTTTGTATCTGGAATTGAGTTATGGAGGTTGTTTTGAAAATGCGTACTTTAATTGTTCGAAAAGTATTAAGTGTTACTAAATTGGGTACTCGGTGAAGGGATGCCAGCCCTCATCCCGAAATTTAATATTGGTATCTGGAATTTAGATATGGAGTTAGTTTTTGAAATGTGTACTTTAATTGTACGAAATCCTCAAATTTGGTATTGAGGTCTGAAATCCTCAAATTTGGTATTGTCTATGTTGGTATCTCAGGTTGAGATATGGAGGTGGTTTTGAAAATGTGTACTATAATTGTCCCAAAAGTACTAAGTGGTAATAAGTTTGGTAATCGGTGAAGGGATGATTGATTTTGAGGTCTCTCTTGGTGTCCAGGATTCAGATTTGGAGTTTGAAAATGCGTCCTATTTCTGTGCCAAAAGTACTAAATGGTACTAAATTTGATATAGGGTGAAGGGATTGGCCTGGAATTCCGAAATATGATGTTGAAGTCTCTGTTAGTAACTGAAATTGAGATATGGTGTTCGTTTTGGAAATATGTGTTATAATTGTACAAAAAGTACTAAATTTGGTATTTGGTGCAGGAATAGATCTGAAATCTTCAAGTTTGAAATGGATGTCACGGTTGGGATCTGTATGTTGTTAGTTTGGGAAATGTGTACCATAATTGTTTGACAAGAACCAAATGGTACTAAATTTGGTATTGAGTGGAGGGATAAGGCTGGAATACTAAATTTTAATATTGAGGTCTCTGTTGGTATCTAGAATTGAAATATGAAAGTGATTTGGAAAATGGGTACTATAATTGTACGAAAAGTACTAAATAGTACTAAACTTGTTATTGGCTGAAGTCCGGAAATTTTATATAGATGTCACTTTTGGTGTCTGTGATTAAGACATGAATGTGGTTTTGGAAGTGAGTAATATAATTTTTCGAAAAGTACTTGTTGGTACTAAATTGGGTACTGGGTGAAGGGATAGAGCTGGAAACCCCAAATTTGATATTGGGGTCTCTGTTGGTATCTAGGATTGAGATTTGGAGGTGGGAATAATAATAGTTTCTGTACCAAAAGCACTAAGTGGTACTAAATTTAGCATTGGTTGAAAGGATAGATATACAATTCTGAAATTTGATATTTAGATTACTGATGGCATTTGTGTTTCAGATTTTTCGGTGGTTTGAGATTTGGAAATACGTCCTAATTTTGTACTAAAAGTACCAAATGGTACAACATTTAGTGTTAGGTGGAGGGATCGGCCTGGAATTCCCTATTGGTATCATAGGCAAAGACCTAAAATGGTAAAGACTGGACAAAATGCATTATGGAGCAATAGTTAATGTGAAAAATATATAGGGGCGCTGCTCACAACAGTGACATGTTGACATAAAAATCATAATTACAGAGCAATTTTAAGAATAACATTTTCTGTAAACCAAAAATTTGGGCTCAAAATTGCATTCCATTGACGTTTTCAATTAATTGAAAATTGCATTTTCTGTTAAAATAACTTAACATTGATGATTATGTTGTTATGATATCGTAACAACAGAGGCAAATACCCCTGGTGACAATATTTTGACTCTGACTTGTCCTATCTTTATACTTCTATGTCTTTGTCATAGGCAATCAATCACCAATGTTAAGTTGTTTAACAGCAAATGCAATATTCAAACGTCAGTGAAATGCAATTTTTAGATCAAATTTTTGGTTTACAGAAAATTTTATTCTTAAAATTGATCTGTAAATATAATTTTTATGCTAACATGTCACTGTTGTGAGCAGCGCCTCCATATATTTTTCACATTAACTATTTTTTCATTATGCATTTTGTCCAGTCTTTACCATTTTAGGTCTTTGCCTATGACAAAGATCAATTTTAAGAATAAAATTTTCTGTAAACCAAAAATTTGAACTAAAAATTGCATTTCACTGACGTTTGAATATTGCATTTGCTGTTAAACAACTTAACATTGGTGATTATGTTGTTATGATATCGTAACAACAGAGGTATTTACACCTGGTGACAATATTTTGACTCTGTCTTGTCCCATCTTTATACTTCTATGTCTTTGTCATAGGTTAAGAAATGGAAGTTGTTTGGAAAATTTGCTTTATAGTTGTTCGAACAGTACTAAATAGTACTATATTTGGTACAATTTGGTATTGGGTGAAGGAAAGAGCTGGAATCTGGAAGTTTTGTGTTGCGTCTGTTAGTATCTAGGACTGAGTACTAAAATTTTTTGCACATGAGTGCTAAAATTATATGAAAAGTACTAAATGGTACTAAATTTGGTATTGAGTGAATGGAATTTCGAAATTTGATATTGAGGTCTCTCTTATTATCTGGTGGTGGTTTTGCAAATTCGTATTATAATTGTTCGAAAAGTACTAAATGGTACAAATTTTTTATCACTGTTAGTATCTTGGATGAAGAGTTGTATATTGTTTTGGATATACGTTATAATGTTGCTAATTTTGGTAATGGATGCAGGGTAAGAACTGAAATTTGATATTGTAAACATTTTCCAATTATTCTCTCCGAAAAAGGAAAAAAGTTCGAATTATATATAAAACCTTAAAAGTATGAAAATTTAATGCGATATATGAAGTTTTGATTAAATATTTTATCAAATTAAACAAATTGTGTATTTAGAGTACTTAAAAGGCCTAAGACGAACCGTTAAAAGGAATCTAAAATTTTATGGTGGACTTTCTGTTGACGTAGTAGCTGCCACTTAATAGTATACATAAAACTGTAAATGTATTTTAAAAAGGCTTTGCACATTTTTTTTTGAATTGGAGGAAAATGCAAAACATAATTGGAATATTAAGTGGAAAATAAAATTATTTTATGAAAAAAATTTCTAAATACAACGTAAATTGTAATTCCAAATGAATTTGAATAATTTCATTTTCGTTTTTTTTTTTGTGTTAAAAAGGTAGTTTTACTATACACACTGTTATTGTACCATGGTTATAACCAAATTATATTCCACGAGCTACTCCGGATGTTTTTATTTTTATTATTATTTCTTAAATGTTTTATTTTGTTTTGTTCACATACACACAACGTATTGCCAACATTAATTCTAATTTTATTACCATCCATTATTTCATGTTTCTCTGCTGTTCGTGTTCCGAATTTCCCAAACAAAACGGAATTAATCAGCTTTGCAGTTGTGCTTTCTTGGGCGCCGGTGTGTGGTTGCGTCTCTCGTATGAAGGTTATGCTACCCTGCTGCCCGATCATGCTGCTCTCAGTGCTGACTCGGTATTCTTGTGCATTGGTGTCATTGGATTTGTTGTTTCATTTTTGGGCTGTTGCGGTGCTTGGGTCCAGTCGCGTTGTCTGTTGAGTTTGGTGAGCGGTGGCATAATTTATTGGAATTAAATAATTTGTATTTATTTATTTTGTGTTTTGTTTTATTTGTTTTAGTATTTTATGCTGATCATTTTGTTATTCTTGAGCGAGTTCCTCATCGGCTCAATAGCTTTCGTTTTCCGCGGTGGTCTGAAGCGCACCTTGGCAAATGAATTGCGTTTTGGCATTGAAGAACACTATAATGCCACCGATCGTGGTTCGATAATTGCACCATCCGTTGCTGCCATTTGGGATAATGTTCAGATGTCGGTAAGTTGATTTTTTTTATGCATTGGGAGATAGTTTGAGAGGGATTAGTTTAAAATATTTTATAAGTGATCTCATTAAAAAAAATCAAAATTCAGCTGAATTGCAATATAATTTAGTGAGCATGAGGGTTTTATAATACACTTAAAAGAATTTGTATATTTTATAGTAATCAACTAAATGAATTTCAAAATTTTCCAAAAAAAAACACCAAATTAAACTTGCTGAATTGAGAATTTAGTGAGTATGAAATTTGCTAAATTCCAAAATTGTTCAAAAAGTTTGAAATCAAAAAAAAAAAAACTCAATAGAATTTTGTGATCAAATCCACTTAAAAATTTTTCTCACATTTTGTGGAATTCAGCTAGCAGAACTGAAATGGGCAGCTATATAGAAATTTTGTTGCTAGAAAAACAGTATATTGCGAGAAATTTTAAAATATTTTCTCACAGAAAACATTTTTTATTTTTCATCTAGATTCAACCGTTACTTAATTAATTTTTTCCAAACCTTGAACCAGTGGCGCCCAACTAGAACAGATTCAAGATTTTAACAAACGGCCTAAATCTTTTCTCAATTTGCCAATAAATTTAAAATTGGCAAAAATATTTTGACATCAAGCACCATATTTAGGTGCCAGAAATAGTGGCACCCAATTTGAAGTAGTTTAAGGGTTTGTTAAAATTTTCGAAATTTTCTATTTGTAACATTGTAAAAAGTGGCGCCCAATATGGCCAGACTTAGGGGTTTGGGTAATCTTTTCGGAATTGCCAGTCTGTGAAATTATGTATCGGGTACTTTAAATTGAAAATCTACTTAAGAATATTTTAATTAATTTTTTTACATATTGGTTTCATAATACAGTGGCGCCCAATATGAGCAAATTGTAAAGTTTTGTGAAATTCAGTCTGTAAACGTATATATTATATACAAAGTGAAAAAAAGATCCCCGCAAAAAAATAAATTTTTCGGCATCACGGAAAAGTGGCGCCCAACATGGCCAGCTTTTTAAATGTGGGTAAACCTTGCGGATTTATCACTCTGTGGAATTGGGTATATAAATATAATTTATGGTAGGGTACTATAAATATAAAATTCAATCGAAGATATTTTAATTAATATTTTACGTATTGATCTTATAATACAATGGCGCCCAATATGAGCAAGTTTAAAAGTTTTGTTAAGCACTGACTGTAAACGTATATAGTATATAATTTGTGTAGAAAATATATCTTTAAAACAATTATTTGAAATAATTCCGAATTTAGGTAGCATGGAAAAGTGGCGCCCAACATGGCTAGGCTTAGGGGTTTGGGTAAGCCTTTCGGACTTTACAATCTGTGATATTGTGTATCGGGTACTAAAAATAGAAAATCTACTCGAAAATGTTTTAATTAATATTTTACGTATTTGTCAAATAACACAGTGGCGCCCAACATAAGCAGGTTTGAAAGTTTTGTTACAGTCGTGGTACTTTTCGGTCTATGACATTGTCTGTGGAATATTGTGTAAAAAAATCTTCATCTACAAAAAAAAAAAAATACTTGAAATAAGATCCACCTTAGGAACAATAAAAGAAAATTTCAACTTTTTTATCTATTTTCTGACGTCCAACTAAAATTTCGAATCAAAAATTTCAACATTTCGGCTATATCCCGTCATCCTATCCCGTCATCCAAGACCAAATATAGTAGCATTTATTTCTTTTCGCACAGTTAAAGTACACATTTTCAAACCAGTCTCCATATATTAACATCAGATACCAAAAGTGACCTTAATGTCAAACTTCAGAATCTTAGCTCTGTAATAGCACCTATCATCAAATGTGATACATTTAGTACAATTATAGGACGCATATCCAAGACCAGCCCCTTCTCTCAATCAGAGATGACAACAGAGACATCCATATCAAATCTCAGGATTCCACCTAAATCCCTTCGCCCTATACCAAATACAGTACTTTTCAAACAATTATAGTAAAAATTCCAAAACCACCTTCTTATTTCAATTCCAGTTACCAACAGGAACCTCAATTTAAATTTAAGTTTTCCAGCTCAATCCCTTCGCCAAATACCAAATTTAGTACTTTTCGTACAAATATAGGATGAATTTCCAGAATCACTTCCGTACCTTAACCACTGACACCAAAGTAACATCTATATCATATTTCAGTATTTCAGTATTTATTTGGTACCAATTAGTAATTTTCGTACTAATTATATTACACTTTTCTACAACCACTTCCATATTTTAATTCCAGATAGCCACAGTTATTTCTATATCAAATTTGCGAATTTCAGCCCAATCCCTTCACCCAATACCAAATTTGGTACTTTTTAGTACTTTTCGTGCAAACATAGGACGCATTTCCAAACCTTCGGAAAATTTCAAACACTGAAACCAACAGTAACCTAAATATCAAATTTCAGAATGTTATCCTATCCCTTCATCTAAAACCAAATTTAGTACCATTTAGTCCTTTTTGTACAAACCACCTCCATATGTCAAGGCTACACATGAACAGCGACCCTAATACCGAATTTCAGGCACTATCTGCTCACTCAATAACATATAGTACTAGATAGTACTTTTCGTGTAATTAAAGTACACACTTTCAAAGCCACCTCCATACGTCCAGGCTACACACGAACATCGACTTTAATACCAAATTTCAGATTTCTAGCACTATCTGTTCACCCAATACCAAATTGTACGAAATATAGTAATATTTAGTACTTCTCGTGTACTTGTAGTACACACTCCCAAAACCCCCACAATATGTCAAGTCTGTACATAGATCCTAAGGGTGGAAACACATAAAGCGCATATTTGGCTGGCTTAATTCATCGGCTGGCTTCTTCGTAGATGAAGAAATGAAAAGGAGTTTTAGGTTGACTTAGTTCGATTTTGGCCCTAGGCTCCTTTGTTCATTTCCGAAGAAGCCAGCCAAATAAGTGCTTTATGTATTCCCAGCTTAATGCAAAATTTCAAACTGCCAACACTATCTGTTCACCCAAAACCATATTGTACCAAATATGGTACCATATTGTACCAAATATGGTACCATTTCGTAACAAATATGGTACTTTTCGTGGTTTCCGAAACCACCTCCATATGTCCAAACTACACATGAACAGCGACCCCAATGTCGGTTTGCACATTTCAAGCACTATTTCTTCACCAATACCAAATTGTACCAAATATAGTACTTTTCGTGAACTTGTAGTACACATTTCCAGAATCACATCCACACACAACACAACCACCAACAGGGAGCCCAATACCAAATTTTAAAATTCTAGCCTCACCCGTTCAACCTAAACCAAGCTGTTCAAAGAAGATTCCACCTCTATCCATATGTCCAGGCTACGACCGTAATACCAAATTTCAGATTTGAAACACTATCTGCTCACCCAATTCCAAATTGTACCAAAAAAACCAACTCTTTTTCACAAACCAACCACCAATAGGGACCCCAAAACGAAATTTTAAATTTCCATCCTTATCTGTTCACCCCTAACCAACTGTTCCCAATTTAGTACCATTTAGTACAGTTTGCAAACTTTTCCAAAAACCACCTTCATATTTCAAATTTACTTTCCAACCTTGGTACTCATACTAAATTTTAAGGTTTAAGCTCTATCCGTTCACATGATGCCAAATGGTACCATTTTAGGAATTTAGAAGCAGGTTGGAAGGTTTCATAACCCTTAAGTTTGAATTTCCAAAAAAAGCTTTGATACATCTATTCTGCACTCCAGCCGGACTCTCATTCCAAATTTCACAATTATAGCTTATTCCCTTTGTCTATTACAATGTATAATTTTTAGTACATTTTTGTACGTTTCGTACTTCCAAAAACCCTTTGGTACACCCATTTTAAATTTCAGAGCTCTAGATCATTCCGTTTGTTTAATACAAAATATTCAATTTTTGTTACATTTTAATACCTTTCGTAAAATTTGTGTATTTTTAGTTCATTAGTAATGTTGTGTTCTCATTTTTTTAGTTCGAATGCTGTGGAGTTTCTTCCTATGAAGATTGGTACGATATCAAATCGTGGAGTGGTAAACGTTGGGTGCCAGAATCCTGTTGTAGACCCATATACGAGAATCGAGGCATTCTAATTGAGGGATCCGGGGACAGCGTGCTAAGAGTGGATTGCGGAAGGTAAACTAACAACGAAAGAAAGACTAAATGAAACTAAATTCCTATTTTTTTAGATCTGAAAATCCAACCTTATGGTGGGATAAGGGTTGCGCCCAATCTCTACAAACCTGGCTGACCGATAAACTAGATGTAATTGGTGTGGTGGGCTTGGGTATTGCTTTTGCCCAGCTCTTTGGTCTGATCACTTCAATGCTGTTATTCTGTACGGTGAAACATAAAAAGGATTCGGATACCTACAAGTCCTATTCGCCCTCAATTGATCCTCAAACGCGACCCAGTAGTTGGGAGGATTGAACTAAGTTTTAGATTGAAATTCTAGAAAACTAAAAAGAGATAGTTAAAATGTTAAGAACACCAGTAATCTCGAGACAATATTTACTAAAACAAAATCACCAACAACAACGCCCGAAACGAATGTCTGGTAACTGTGCCTTTTTTTCAAAGCCAAAAAAACAGACATTGTTTTTCCTCAAAATATGTGCCAAATACCCGCAACCAAACACAAATTAATTAAATAAAATATATAATTATAAAAAAGTATATATAATAAATGACATATACACAAGTGGACTGGGTTATAATGAATTTTAAATTATTTAAAAAAATATTTAAATTTAAGTCATTATTATTACAACATTTATGCATGATTATGATTAAGGCTGCTACAAAATGTTGCTATTTTTAATATCTGCAATTCGTTATAACCCTGTCAGACTGTAGACACATAAATAATAATAATAACAAAAATATATAAGTAGATCATTATTAGTATTAAGAAAAAAAATTAAAAAAATATATTATTTTAAAATCTAAATAACCAAAGTTAAATCTACGCGACAAAAATCCTATAATTATGTTCTATCCCTATCCCATTAAAAACTGTCATAATTAGTCTCATAGCCTTAACTTTTATTTTAGTCAAATAGTGAGAGTGACATACATATATTTAATATTTAATTTATAAATTTATTATATATTTAATGCGAACTATGTTTAAAAATCGATAAAAGAAATAGTAACATATAATTTTACAATAATTTCAAGCAGAGCATTTTTTCGAAACAATATTTAAAAAAATTGTATCTCCAAAATCTCTGTGACATATCCCCACACATATCTAAACAAAAAACTGCCTATTTTTTATGTATTAAGCGAAGAAAACAAAAATGTGATGATAAAACATTCCTCAATAAAATTATAATAATAAAACAACAAATAATGAATGTGAAGATGCTAAAATCGCACAATTTTTCACACCTACTTACGAATGTAGGAGAAATAGTTAGCGGAGGGTCAGACCATATGCTATTAACTAAGGTCAGTAAAAAAAACCTAAATACACTAGTTACGAAATCTGCTCTGAGAGAAAACAAATAAAAAAGCAGTAAGTTCGACCAGGCCGAACTTTGAATACCCTCCACCATTTGGAACGAATTTGAAAAATTTCACAAAAAAAAAAAAAAAAAAATCGGTTAAAATTCTGTTAAAATCTTAAAAATGTATGTAGCCTTTTTTTTAGGTCTATATGAAGAAGTTGACCTGCATAGGCAACTTTTGTGATAGGCAAAGCAGTAAGTTCGGCAAGGCCGAACTTTGAATGCTCTCCACCATTTGGAACGAATATGAAGATTTTCAAAAAAAAAAAAAAAATAAATAAATAAATAAATAAATAAAATAAAACCCGTTAAAAATTCTTTTAAAATCTTAAAAATACCGAATGTAGACGTTGATCAGCAAAGGCAACTTTTGTCATTAGCTAATACAATATTCAAATACGAAAATTTAAAAAAATCCGTTTAATAATTTAGCTAAAATCATCAAAACACCGAATACAGAGAGGTGCCGTTATATTGGGGCTATACGAAGACCTGGGCATAGACAAATATCTGTCACAGGCTGTAGTGCCTACTAAGAATTTCAAATACGAAATTTCAAACAGTTTCGGTGAATAATGTAACTAAAATCGTCAAAATACCGAATATAGGGAGGTCCCGGGACTATTCGAAGACTTAGGCCTGCACAGACACTTATCTGTTCCATGCTGTAGTACCTATTAGAAACTTAAAATACGAAATTTCAAACAGTTTCGGTGAATATTGTAACTAAAATCGTTAAAATAACTAATATAGGAAAGAACTGATATATGGGCCCTATACGAAGACATGGACTTGCATAGACCATTTTTTTAATCAAACATTATACTAAATATAAAGAATTTCAGGGTTTTTCCTTTTTCGGAAAGAGTTATAGGAACAGTTTATCTCTGACACCATAAAAGTATTTAAACCGTTTCATTCGCAGTTCAATTTTTTTGGACAAAACTATTCCAGCGTTTCCCCCTAAATCAGCGGTTTGAACATAAAATTTCAGAATTGCAGCTCTATACATTCACTCAATGCCAAATATAGAAATATTAATACTTATAGAACATAGAAAAATTAATACGAATACTCAACACAATCTGCATCTCTACATCCTAGTCACCAATAGTGACTCAAAATTCGTACCACTTAGTACTTTTCGAACAATTATGGTACACAGCTCCAAAAACCAGCCCCTTCTCTCAACTACAGACACCATATCCAATTTCAGGATTTCAGCTCTATTTCTTCATTCAATACCAACTTAGTACTTTTCGGACAATTATAGTACACATTTTTGAAACCATCTACATATCTAAAACACAGACACCAACAGTGACATCTACATCAACTTTTAACTCTATTCTTCACCCAATACCAAATTTAGTACTATTCTGTACTTTTCGTACAATTATCGTACACATTTACAAAACAACCACCAGATCAACTGAGACCGTAATATCAAATTTCGACATTTCAGCACTAATCTTTCATCCAATACCGAATCTAGTGCCATTAAGAACTTTGCGTACAGATATAGTACACATTTCTAAATCCACCTCCATATTTTAACCTCAGACACCAACAGTGACATCTACAAATTTCAGGAATTCCTCTCTATTCCTTCTCCCAATACCAAACATGGTATTATTTAGTATTTTTCACACAAGTGAAACGCACACTTCCGAATCCACCTCCACATCTCAATTATAGAGATCAATCAAATTTGAGAATTTTGATCAATCAATTTGAAGGATTTGAAGGATTCCTTTACCCTATGCCAAATATAGAACCATTTATTACTTTTTGTACAAATATAGGACGCATATCCAATTCACCGCCAAATCTCAAACACAAGTACCATCTTAACAGCAAATTTGAGAATTTCACCTCCACATATTAGACAGCCCATGAACAGCGAATCTAATACAAATTTTGATATTTGAAGCACTATTTGCTCGCTCAATGCCAAATACAGTACTATTTAGTACTTTTCGGCCACTTGTAGAACACATTTCCAAAAACACCTTTTTATCACAAACCTACCACAAACATATCCACGAATATCGGTTAGAAAGTTCTTGACAAAAATGATTGAAATATCTGCTTGGGCAGAAATTCCTGACCATATATTAAAAAATTAAAAAAATGGTAAACATTACCATCGTTCTCCACTAATAACAAACGTTGTTTTTATAAAAACAACAAAAAGGGGATTAAGCACGACCATTTTGCAACAACAAAATTGTCGAAACTTAACACTTATTTTTTAAATACACGATTCCTGGCCAAGCCAAGTGCTTGACAATTACACATTTCCTGACCAGAAAGTCCTTTGTCAAAATATTAAAAAAAAAATTCAAATATTTTTTTGAAAAATCCGCTATTTGTGGCCAAAAAGTTTTTAACAATGTTTTTTAAAAAAAATTTCAAAAAACAGAATTCTTAAAGAGGAAAAGAAGTCACTCAAAAACAGAATTTAACTATTATTGGCTGTTCAGTCTTGGCATAAATGTTAAAAAATCCATGAATCTTGGTCAGGATAATTTTTTTGAGTACAAAGATGTATATGTACGACATTTGAAAAAAATTCCAAGGGAAAAAATATCATCAACAAAGGCAGCTGCTGTTATATGTGGGCTATACGAAGATGTAGACACAATTTTTTGTCATAGGCTGTAGTACCCATACCCTTTAAATAAGCAATTTGAAACAGTTCCGTTAACATGTTATTAAAATCATCAAAATACCGAATTCCTATCTTAATACGTTTTGACTCAATCGTGATTATAACAAACGGACCGACGTCTGACAATTTTATGATCAATAATATGTACATAAACTTTGTTATGTCTAAAATTATTATTTCGATGAGTAACAAGTTACATACTATGTATGGCGGAGGGTATACCAATTATTTTCAAATTATTGGCAAGGAAATCTTATGGGACATTTTGTAACAAAAAAGCCTGCAACTTTTCTGACAAAAATTAGAAAAAAGTAAATGTAAATATTATTCAAGTTTGTTTTTTATTCGACCTTGTCCAATGTAATTTCAATAAATAAATTTTTCTTTGAGCTTTAGGTCTGGGTTTTTTTTTTTTTTTTTTTCTTTATTAAAATCCGATATTTCGCAATAGATTTCCCTGAAGAGGCAATGTAAATATAAATAATTTTAAAACACTTGATTAGGAAGTTCTAGAAAAATTATTGTCAAAGCTTGACGCTAGACCTACTTTAAAACAATCCAGGAAAATCTGGGAAAATAGGGAACTAAACCCAGATTCAATGGGAATTATGACTTATGATTTTCGGAATTTTCACCAAAAAGAGTAAATCGATTTATTTCATTATCACATTTCATGTAATATTGGCAGTAATATAAAAAAACGCGGAATTTGATAAATAAAAAAATAGTTCAAATACAACATATCTATATATAAGAGAAATATATAAGAAAATATCCTAAATTGTTTTTAGTGTAACTCTCATATAATGGAAGGACCTAATATTTGGAGTGTATTTGCAGTATTTTTTAAATTTTAGGGATTCCTAAGGTTTCAAAAATTTATTAAGTTTTCATATGATAGAGGGTACAAAAGTTTCGACTCGGAGACACTTTATGCCACATTTATTTATTTCAATTACCTTCGTTTCAATCGAAAATTTTCACATCTGTTACATGAACATTTTCGGCAGTGGCTGTATGTTCACATTCAAATAAAAAAAGTTACTTTATAAAAAAATATAACATTTAATTAATATTTAAAAAATAAAATAATAATTTATTTATTTAACAAATATAAGAAAATTAAGAAACTTAAGTAAATAATTTTGCTGTCATAATATAAACACGAATTGAAAGAAATAATAAAGAAGACTAAAACTAAAACAAAGTAGAAAAAAATAAAAAATTATTTTTACATTAAAGACCCACAAGTTTGCCGCCAATTATATCCAGTTGGGCATTGACGCTCTTGTTAATCGATTTGAAGATTTGTTGAGGTTTCTAGAGAGGAAGAGAAAAAAAAAGAAAAAAATAGGGAAAATATGAGTAGAGTAGTAGAGTAGTTGGTAAGTAAAAATTATAATTAATCATTAAAAGGAGAACTCATTTTAGCTTTTGCAACCAATTAGATTTAGACAAATAAAGGTGTAGACTAAAAAAATGTCTCATCGGTAAGGTAGAGCTTCCAGCGGATTAAAATTGTATTTCTAATTTTCCCCATGTTCTGTCAATTTTGTGTATGTACTTATTGTTTAAAAACAAAAAATATTTTCAAAATCAATTATTGGAATAAACGTACATTGCACATCTACAAGTTTTACCATGGAAAAACTTCCAGGAACTTCGCTCATTTTTCGCGCTATTTAACTCTTTTAAAAATGGGAAAAAATACCAAATGAATGAGAATACAATTTTGGAAAATGCTGATAGAATTTGGTAATTTTCAAAAAATTGAAATCCATTAAAAATTCTGTTAAAATCTGAAAATACCGAATGTAGCCGTATATTAGGGTCTATACGACGACGTGGACCTGCATAGTCAACATTTATCATAATATTCAAATGCGAAACTTGAAAAAAAATACGGTGTATAATGTCGCCAAAATCATCAAAATACCGAATATCAGAAGGTGCCATTATATGGGGGCTATACGAAGATTTTTGTGCCAAATTAAATTAAACGTGATCTATACGAAGACGTGGACCTGCACAGACAATTTTTTTTGAAACAATTCCGCTAATAAATAACGTCGAGTGATTTTACTAGCCCGGAGTGACTTTACTGTCCCCATGACTTACCATAGAGACATCTACCGGAAGAGGTAAACATTAAATATTTTTAATATATACCTATATTAAGCTATACCTATATATTGCTCACCTGTATAATTGTATTCAGGAAATTCGAAAAGGCCTCATAACCATTGACTAAACTACGAGAGATGCCATCGAACATATCACCATTGTTGCCATACTTTTCGTGTTCGCTAATTGTATCCAAAATCGGTACAGGCTGCAAATAAAACGGCATCACATGTTTTTTATTCGAACAATTACAAAATAGTTGTTATAATTAAAACCGGACTTACTTGACTTTTATCGGCAATAAATTTCTGACTGTTATCGTAGACACTTAAAACCTTCGATGGTATAGCCTCTGACTCCAAATTGACAGACTCGCGAGTTTTTACGGGAGCTTGAAAGAGGGATACCTGGAAACAACAACAACAACAAAATATTAAATGTTTGTTTACTAAACAGCAACTAAGTAGCTAATAAAGCTCATTTTTATGAGCTATTAAAAGTTTTTTGGTGGTTCGGTTCAATTTGAGAGCGCTATAACATAATACAGCCTTAATTACACATGTTTACATTTTAACCTTAAGTGTGAAAAACAAAAACAAAAATATCATTCGGATGGATTTCAATTAAAAATTTGGAGACTCTGTTTTATGGAGGCTGTACTTATATTTAATATTTTTTGAGATTCTTTACCAGAAAGCCAAAATAATAAAAGAACACGTTTTTTGGCAAGCCGGGCCGAACTTTTAATACCCAGGAACTTGAAAAATTTCGAAAAAAATCCTTCCAAAAATTCCGCCCAAAGAAAATCCTTTATATGGGGGATATACGAAGACTTGGTTCAGCATAAGTAATTTTTTGTCATCGGCTGTAGTACCCATTACAAACGTCGAATACAATTCCGGTGAATAATGTCGCTAAAATCATCAAAATACCGAATATCCGAAGATACCTTTATGTGGGGGATATACAATGTCGTGGACCTATATAGACAATTCTCTTCCAGGAGGTAAAGTACTCAAAAAGACCTCATTGTGTTAATTTTCAGAAAATTTCATTAAATAATTTGGATACAATCATCAAAATAACGAATATCAAGGCATACGGTTATATGGGGATATACGATATCGTGGACCGGACGGACGTCTTAGAATTGATCAAGAACAAACGGAATAACGAACTTAATATACCATCCATATTGTGTATGGTGTTGGGTATAAAAATGTCCAGGAATATTATACAAATCTAAGATTCTGAGATTGGAAGTCCTTGAAAAATAGGAACTTTAAAAATGAGTCCATTGTTAAAAAGCAAACTTATGGTTACTTAGCAGGGATTCCTTAACAAAAAATATTTGCAAAATCTAAATTTCTTCGTCAGTAAGTCCTTGCCGAAAATGTTCAAAGAAACCATGATTGTTGGTCAGGTAGTCCTTGATGAATATTTTTGAAAAATCTACGATTCTTGACCAGGGAAGTCCTTGACAAAGAATTAAAAAATCTACAATCCTTGAGCAAAAAGTCATTGGCAATTCTTGTTTTAAATCCACGATTCTTGGACAGGTATTAATTGACAATGTGTCCCTGGCCAAAAAAAAATATTGATAATTTCTTTTAAAAAATTTGAAAATAATCTACTATTCTTGGTGAAAATATTTCCGATGAAAATATTTGTACAGGAATTCCTTGACAAAGAATTTAAAAAATGCACAATAATCGGTCAGGAATTTTTTTATGAAACCGCTTAAAAATATACGTTTTTTTCCAAAGAACGAAAAGATCCTTGACCAAGAAGTCGTTGACAAAATTTGTTTAAAAAAAGTCCACGATTGTCCAAGAATTCTTTGACAAAGAGTTCTAAGGTTGATCCAATATTTTCCTAGTCCAAAATGTGTAAAAATTTCACGATTTTTGCACCACAAATCATCCACAAAACACGTAAAAAACTAACTATTATTAGTCCCCAAATAGTCGGAAAAAACTTTTAAATAATCCACGATTATTGGCCTTATTATTTTATTATATTAATAAAATCACATTTCCATAACAAAAATGTTTTTGAAAATAATTTTTTCGTTGTTGCAAAATAGTTAGGCTTAATCCCAAAATTGTTGTTTTTATAAAAACAAGGTTTATATATTTGGTTGGAGAAATATGGTAATTTTTAACCATACCATGGCTTCGGAAAGAGCTACTAATCACTTCAAAAATTTAAAAAAAATCACTTTTTTTGGCCGGAAACTTTTGACACAAATTTGTAAAAAAACTCCACCATCATCACCTAGGAAGTCCTTTTTAAAAACATGTTTTAAAATTTCTCGATTATTGGATTTAATCTACTCAAAAGGAAGGCGAAAATATATGAAAAACTAGGAGATACCGTTATATACTGGCTACATTCCAAAAAGTAAGCCCACAATAATTATATTTTGTGGGGAGTAAAAGAGAACCTGAAATATCGAAACACAACTCATTTGGTTAGAAATTGCCGCAAAACTTCCAAATTGGCAAATTATTTTGAAACAACAAAATAGCTTCGTCATTCCAGCAAATAAATGTCAATACCGTATTATGGGAAATATCACTGAAATAAAGTTAGAGGCCTGTTTTTTTTGGAATAAAATGCAGCTTTTTTGAAATCTACTTTGAATTGGTATATTTTATCAATTTTGAATTTCAACTAATCTCGGAGATATTGTCTACAAAAAAATAGGCCTTTAGATTTTGCAAATTATAACATTTCGAAATAAAATTTAAATATCACAAGATTATGGCTGTTCGGTGATGGCATTACATTTGTTATGATTTGTTTACCCTGACCGAATATTGAAATAATAATAGTCGCCTATAAAAAAATCAAAATATCGACATTTATTCAACAGCAAAATGGAAACCAGAATTATCTGTCTTTCATTCGCCCTTTGATTTACATATTTTTCAGTTTTGGTTATTTTAGCTAATACTTTTCTGGCGAATTATTTCAAAATCTGGGATTTCTTAAGACAATGAGTGTACAAAAATATATAGTTTTAAGAAAATTTTTACAGAGCAATCTTACTCGTGATATACAACAGAAATTTAAATTTCAATTTGCAAAAGAAATAAGTAATAAAGTTCATCTATATCAATTTTCAGAATTTTAGCTCTATTCCTTCACCCAATACCAAATTTAGTACTTTTTGTAAAACCACCTCCATATCTCAATTCCAGATAAATACAGAGATCTCACTATCAAATTTGGGGATTCCAGCCCTATCCCTTCACCCAACACCCTATACATTTCCAAAACCTCCATATTTCAATTCCAGATGCCAAAAGAAACCTCAGTATGAAATTTGAGGTATCCGGGTCCAAAGACCAACTTTAGTATTTAGTACTTTTCCGACAAATATAAGACCGCCACATCTCAAACACAGATGCCATCAGTAATTTAAATATCAAATGTCAGAATTTGATATTTAATATAGTACAACAATACCAAATATAGTACAACTTAGTACTTTTCGTACAAATATAGTACACATTTCCGAAACAACTTCCATATGTCCAGTCTACACAGGAACAGTGGCCCTAATACCAAATTTTAATTTTTAAGCACTATCTGTTCACCCAATATCAGGTTGTACCGAATATACATATGGTCTGTTTCAGAACCGCATGAATGTAAGAGTTTTTACTTCGATAACCGATTTCACCTTTATGATATCGAAGAAAATTACAAAACTAGTAGATTCTTACAGGTACTAGAACAGAGCAATTAGTTTCGAATTTCCAAAAGATCCTACATAACCCAATCCTAAATTCCATAGTAATAAAAATTCCAAATTTCGTGACTACCACCCTATCGGTTCGCCAAAATACAAATTGTGCCAATTTTAGTACATGTAAGTTTAAACTTCCATAACTACTTACATCATGCTATCCCACAGAAAGTGTATTTCCATATTTCAGGATTCCAACTCCATTGGGTTTCCCAAGAAATTTTAATAGTACTCAAATTAGTACCATTTAATATGCATAAGACTTTCCAAAAGTACCTACATACCTCTCAATAGTAATCTTATTTCCAAATTTCAGCAATCCAGTTTCATCGGTTCTACCACAATTTAAATTGTACCAAATTTAGTACCACATAAGTACGCTAAATTACGAATTTCCTACGTACGTCAATCCTACAATGCAATATTAATCTTATTTCGGTTCACTCAAATTGAAATTGTACCAAATGTGGTACTTTTCGTGCATTTAAGTATACATTTCGAAAACTACCTCCATATCCCAATCCTACACAGTGCCAGTAATGTCTTTGTTTAATTTTCAGAATGGAGCTGGCTACGGTTCCTCCAAATTTACGTTAATCCAAATTTAGTACCGTTTAGTACTTTTCGCATACATGAGTAAGCACTTCCAAAAACTAACTCCATTCATCGACTATACTCCTCAACCTTGATTCCCAATCCAAGTTTCAAGAGTTTAGAAATGATACCAAATTTAGTACACTTTAGTACTTTTCGTAAAATGGTAGTTCGAATTTCCAAAAACCCTTTGGTACATCCATCATAGACTCCATTAGAGAACCTTATTCCAAATTTAAGAGTTCTAGCTCTATTGGTTCGTCAACCAAGTACATTTTAATACTTTTCGTACCATCCTAGTACGAATTTCCAAAACCCCGGCCTTTACTGACAGGGGTACCATATTTGGTACCTTTTGCTACTTTCCGTGCGATTCTAGTAGGTATTTCCAAAAACCCAGCCTTAACTGACACCTTCGTATCCTCACCCAAAATTTCAAGATTTTAGCTTCAGCCGTTTCGCCTGAGAGTTTTGTGAATAATTAAGTGAGTCAGTTATATTCCTCTTTTATTAAAATAGATTTAACATTCGGAAATATTCTATAAAATATCTACGTTTTGATAACCGAAAATAATCTTAAAAAAAACACTTGAGACTCTGAAATATAATTTAAAATCCATGATTTGACCCCCGGAATTATTCTATAAAATATACACGATTTGATCCCCTGACTACCAGGAAATATTCTTTAAACAGTCCCGATTTGAGATCCGGTGTTCTATGAATAATGAAAAGTGTATAATTCGCATATGCTAATTTGCAATAAGTTCGAAATATATACTACTTTCCAGAGAACGGCCCTTGTAAGCCATCATCCATATCTAATATGCCTGATGAGCCGCTTAACCAACGGCGAAACGCGTCGCATAGTGGTGAGTGTGTGATAGTGTCTATCTGGCTTTCCTTTTCACTGCAAATTTCAGATCATTAAGCTCGTCTCGAAAGAGAAAACAAACACTTGAAAAATATTTTATTTCCAAATTTTCTCAGTTGTCATTTCTTTCCTGTATAAAAGCCTCCACTCCATTATAGAACAAGAATTGAGCCCTGGTATTATTTATAAATCCTCCATTTAAGACTCGGAAATTTTCTTTAAAAATGCATGTCTCTTGAAAAAGTCTAAATTTGTTCGAAATCCCTGGTTTGAAAAAAATCCAATATTTAGTGCATCTGGATCTGTTGAAAATTCGTGGAAAATAATACTTAAATGGAAATTGCTATATGACTAGATATACCAAGTAAAAAAGCACCTAAGTCCGACAGCGGTTTAAATAAAAAACCGTAATACGAAGACAACGCCCTGCACACCCAATTTTTTGAAGGGTATAAAACGTATTTTCAAACTATGCATTCAATACATTACCCTAAATCCAGATTTTGAATCCGATCCAGCCTCTTCGGCTTGCGAATGTACATCGAAGTCAGATGATTTGGCAGTATCGGTCTGAGCACCATAATTTACACTTTCGGATGCTTCAATATCCAACGACAATTGACGAGCAATGCGTTCCGAATTCTTTGAAACTTCCGCTCCGGCGGAGTCTGAATTTTTGTTCTCTGGCGCATTTACAGTCTTTGTGATCAATGGAATGTTTACTGATTCGGCAACGTCCATGTCAATGTCATCGAAACTTTGATCTTTGACTACGATTTTTTCCAATGGCAGGGCCAAACACATGGAAGACAACAACAACACCACGGCCAAGACACAAGATAATTTCATTGCGATCAAATTGGGTTTTTTGTTTTGTTAATTACAACGAACGAATGCAGAGTAAAACTCAAGACACGAAGTTCCGTTACACACTTCCAATTCGTACAATTCCTAAATTCCAACTAAATAAGCGTTGTGCTTTTAATCACGATTTGTATTTGAGGCCAAAGGCTGGGCAGCGAAAAAAAAATTGTAACAAAAACCTGCGACATCATTGCACACATATTTTTATAGTTTAGAGATACGCACACACACACACGAACAGCAAACTCACCTGCAGACCAAGCCAAGCTTTTTGGCCAGCATAGTCCAAGGTACATGCAAACATATGGGGTTTTTGGATGGCCAAGTTTTTATGGGGGGGGCTTTGTTTACCCACTACTTTACATTAATATCCATGACCATCTTATTCACAGCTGCAGATGAGAGCGGACCGATCATGCTAACAAGCCTTAGAGCCGGGAGAGAGAGAGCAAAAAACGTAACTCTAACCGCCCCTGTCAACAACATCTTTCGCAATCAATGAGGAAGGAAGTGAATCACATCAAGTGAATAGATGAGGATGGATGGAGGAATGAATGGATGCAATACAATCTGGGGCAACTACATTCACTGGTACCGCACAAAAGCCAAGCCGCCAGACTCCAATTTTTCTTAGCAGGTAACAAAATAATCAAGTCCAGAAGCTTAGATGTAATAATTTTCACATTCTTCGTAACATACTTTCCAATAAATTGCACTTTCATGAAACCCCGGGAGTTGGTCAATTATTATTTGCCAAATAAGCGAAGGTGAAACAAGTTAAAAATTAGTAAGTTCGGCCGGGCCGAACTTTGAATACCCTGCACCATTTGGAACGAATTTAGAAATTTTCAAAAAATAAAATCCGTTAAAAATTCTGATAAAATCGTAAAAATACCGAATACAGCCGTTATATTAGGGTCTGTACGACGTGGACCTACATAGGCATTGTTTGTCATAAGCCATTACCATATTCGAATTCGAAACTTGAAATAAACGGTGAATAATGTAGCTAAAATCATCAAAATACCGTATATGAGGAGGTACCGTTATATCGGAGCTATACGAAGACCTGGACCTACATTGCAAATTTTCTGTCATAGGCTGTAGCATCCATTACGAACTTCAAATACGACATGTCGAACAATTTCGGTGAGTATTGTACATAAATCCTCAAAATACCGATTATAGGGATTTACTGATATATGGGGCCTATACGAAGACCTGAACCTGCATAGATATTTTTCTGTCACAGACTATAGTTCCCATTACGAACTCTAAATCCGTAATTTGAAACAATTCTGGTGAATAATGACGCATAAATCATCAAAATACCGAATATCGGGAGGTACAGTTATATGGGGGCTATACGAAGACGTGAACCTGCATAGACAATTTTATGTCTCAGGCTGCAGCTTCCATTACCAACTTCATATACGACATGGCGAACAATTTCGGTGAGTATTGTACCTAAAATCGTTAAAATACCGAATATAGGGAGGTACTGATATATGGAGCCTATACGAAGATCGTGGACCTGCATAGACAATTTTCTGCATTAGGCTGCAATATTCATTACGAACTTCAAACACTAAATCTGAAACAATTCCGGTGAATAATGTCGCTAAAATCATTAAAATACCGAATATCGGGACGTACCGTTATATGGGGGCTATATGAAAACGTGGACCTGCATAGACGATTTTCTGCCTTAGGCTGCAATATTCATTACGAACTTCAAACACCAAATCTGAAACAATTCCGGTGAATAATGTTGCTAAAATCATCAAAATACCGAATATCGGGACGTACCGTTATATGGGGGCTATACGAAGACCTGGACCTGCATAGACAATTTTCTGTCACAGGCTGTAGCTTCCATTACCAGCTTCAAATACTACATCTCAAACAATTTCGGTGAGTATTGTATCTAAAATCGTCAAAATACCGAATATAGGGAGGTACTGAGATATGGGGCCTATACGAAGACCTGGAGCTGCATAGACAATTTTCTGTCACAGACTGTAGTTTTCATTACGAACTCTAAATACGTAATTTGAAACAATTCCGGTGAATAATGTCGCTAAAATCGGCAAAATACCGAATATTGGGAGGTACCGTTATATGGGGGCTATACGAAGACGTGAACCTGCACAGATAATTTTCTGTCTTAGGCTGTAGTATCCTTTTGGAACTTCAAATACCAAATTTGAAACAATTCCGGTGAATAGTGTCGCTAAAATCTTCAAAATACCGAATATCGGGAGGTACCGTTATATGGGGGCTATACGAAGTCGTGGACCTGCGTAGACAATTTTCTGCCTCAGGCTGTGGTAACCATTTCGAACTTGAAATGCCAAATTTGAAACAATTCCGGTAAATAATGTCGCTAATATCATAAAAATACCGATTATAGGGAGGTACCGTTATATGGGGGCTATATGAAAACGTGGACCTACATGGCCCAATTACGAACTTAACCTGCCTACTGGTAAAATAAACATGTGTGCAAAATTTTAGCCTTCTATCTCAGTTCGTTCGAAAGATAGCATGATACAACAGGCAGACAGACAGACGGACAGACAGATGGATGGACAGACAGACGGATATGGCTAAATCGTCTTAGAATTTTACGCTGATCGGGAATATATATACTTTGTTGGGTCTGACATGAGTATTTCGAGGAATTACAAACAGAATGACAAAATTAATATACCCTCCATAGTATGGTGGAGGGTATAAAAACCGAAGGTAGTTATAAAGTCAGGGGCGTAAGCAACATCGATTTCCAAAGGGGCAATATGCAGGAACCAGTTTTAAATAAAGTAAATAATTCCATAAGATTTTTTCTTATTATTTATTAAATATTCCCCCCCCCGCTTTTGCATTTACTACCTTTTCCTCCACGCCCCTGCAAAATTGTCTTGTGTGCTAAGTGCCCAACTATATTTAGCAAATATCAATGAGAAATTGTGTAATAATCTTGTTTTTGTCCATTGCTGGTAATGTTGTTTTTGTTGCTGCTGTTGTTGCCACCGTCGAGAGAGCGAGAGATGTGCGAGCTTACATTCGTGGCCCAAAGAAAAGCCAGTCTTCTACACCAAACCCGTCTGTCATCCACACATGCCATTATTAAAGATAATTACATGTGCGCATGCCCATTATGGCCTGTTTGTCCCACTGACTGACTGACTGATTAATACATTTTTTGGGCTTTAACAGTTATTTGTATCTACGAAAGCTATGTAACGAAGTATGTTAAGTTAAAGCTTTTACATGTAAGCTCATTAACATAGCGGCATTTTTACAACATAATGGAAGGTTTAGACGGCAGAGTTTTTTGTAACAATATACAGAGATTCTGAAACGGCTAAAGCTAGAATCTTCAAAATTTGGTAATGGCTTATTCTTGGTATGAAGGTATCAGATAAGGCTGGGTTTTTTGGAAATTCGTACTAGAACGGTACAAAAAGTACCAAAAGGTACTAAATATGGACTCTTTGTATGCATCGAACTAGTAAGGAAGAATTTTTAATTTGGAACGAGGGTCACTGATAGAAAATTCGAACTTTAAGGTTACGAAAAGTTTTAAAATGGTACCATTGGGAAATTACAAAAAGTTCTAAAATAGTACCAAAATTCTAAAATGGTACCATTTGGTATTATTTGAACGAAAAGAGCAAAAAACTTGAAATTCGGTATGAGAATCAAGGTTGCAAAAGTAAGTTTGATATATGATGGAAATTCGTACCACAACAGCACAAAAAGTACCAAATGGTACTAAATATGGTACCCTTTGTATTTGACGAATCAGTAGAGCTAGAACTCTTAAATTTAGTATGAGGGTCACTGATGGATTGCAGGATAGATGCACCAAAGTGTTTTTGAAATTCCAACTTTAAAGTTACAAAAAGTTCTGAAAAAGTACTAAATTTGTAAAATGGTACCCTTTGGTAGTATGTAACCGGATAGAGCTAAAAACTTTAAAATTGGTATAAGAATCAAGGTTGAAAAGTAAGTTTAAAATATCTTGATAGTTTTGGAAATGTGTACTAAGTGGGCGAACTGTACTAAATGATACTAAATTTGGGTAAACGGTTGAAGTTGGAATTATGAAATTTTTGTATTGTGGTCTCTGTTGGCGGTAGGTTTGTGATAACGAGATGGTTTTGGAAATGGGTAAGAAATAGTTCTATATTTGGTACAATTTGATTTTGGTCAAAATCTCTGGGTCTCTCGGTAACTTCGATTGAGGCATAGGGTTAAGGGATAGAGCTGGAGTACCGAAATTTGTCACTTAGGTCTCTGTTGGTATCTGGGATTGAGAGAAGGAGGTGGGTTTGGAAATGTGTGGTATAATAGGAAAAAAATACTAAATAGTCCCAAATTTGGTACTAAGCGAAGGAATAGGGCTTAAATCCTGAAACTGAATATGGTCGTCACTGCTGGTCTCTGTGATTAAGATATGGGGGTGGTATTTGATATGTGTTCTATAATTGTACGAAAAGTACAGAATGGTACAAAATTTGGTATTGGGTGAAGGAATAGAGCTGATATCCTGCAATTCGATATTGATGTCTCTCTTGGTATCTAGGATTGAGGTATTGATGTGGCATCAGAAATGTATACTATAATTGTTCAAAAGTACTAAGTGGTACTTAATTGGGTGAAAGGATAGAGATGTAGTCCCGAAATTTGATATTTTGGTCTCCTTTTGTATCTAGGATTGAGATATGCTGGTAGTTTTGAACATTCATCCTAAAATTGTACAAAAAGTACTAAATTTCGTATTGGTTGAAAGGATAGAGCTGGAATTACAAAATTTGATTTTGAGGTCTCTGTTGGTATTTAGGATTGAGATATGGAAGTGGTTTTGGAAATGTGTACTATAATTGTGCGAAAAGTACTAAATAGTACTAAATTTGGTACTGGGTGAGGGAATGGAGCTGAAATTGGATACATATGCCAGTGTTGGTGTCTGTGGTTAAGATAAGAAGGTGGTTTTGGAAATGTGTTCTATAATTGTTCGAAAAGTACTTAGTGGTACTAAATTTCGTTTCGGCTGATAGAATAAAGCTAAAATCCTGAAATTTGATATTTATTTCTCTGTTGGTATCTAGGATTTGACATGAATGTGGTTTTCGAAATAATATAATTGTACAAAAAGTACAAGAAACAATTTGGTATTGGGTGAGGCAAAAGAAAAGAAAACCCAAAATTGGATATGGATGTCACTGTTGGTGCCTGTGGTTAAGAGAAGAAGCTGGTTTTGGATATGCGTACAATAATTGTAGTAAATGGTACTAAATTTGGTAATGGAGAATATTAAAGGGCTGAAATGCTGAAATTTGATATTAAGGCCACTTTTGGTACCTGAGGTTAAGATCTGGAGATTTTTGTTGAAATAAGTACTAAAATTGTACAAAAAGTACTAAATTTGGTTTTGAGTAAAGAGATATAACAGAAATCCCCAAATTGTATGGATATCACTGCTGGTGTCTTTAGTTGAGAAAGGAGGTAGTTTTGGAAATGCGTACTAATATTGCACTAAATGGTACTAAATTCTGCAATGGGGTAAATTACAGAATTGAAATCCTAAAATTTTATATTAAGGTCACTCTTGTTGTCTAAGGTGGAGATGTGTACGTAAGTACTTAATTGTACGAAATGTGATACTGGGTGGAGAAATAGAGCTGATGTCCCGATATTTAAGATGGATGTCACTGTCAGCGACTGTAGTTGAGAGAAAGAGATGGTTTTGGAAATTCGCACTGTGAAGGAAAAGTCCTTTTGAAATTTGTTAAAAAGGTGGGCTTGGACATGCGTTGTACGAAAATAATGGTAATCATTTTGGGATTGTGTCTTAGGATCTGGAGCTTGAATTCGGAAATTTGATATGGAGGCCAATGTTGGTATATAGTTTTGAGAGTCTCTGTTGGTTTGCAGAATTTATATATCATGACTTTGAAATAGTTTTGGCAAGAAAAATTGGATGTGGAAGCATTGTGAATTGTATTTAACTAATATACTCTTCAATAAACTTCAGAACTAAACTTTTTTTAAACTTTTTGGTGCAAAAAGTAATCAATTTTCTGTTATCCTTTTTGAAAAAGGAAAAACTTGAATATAAATAAAGTTTTGTCGAATCCAAAATTTTAGGGTGGATTTTACGATGACGAAATAGCGGACACTTGCTAGTTATAACTATTATAGCCGAAGAATTGTTCAAAATATTCGAATGTGTGTATTTAAGGCATTTTTCTATCATTTTTCGAGCTATCAAATTCCAGAGGTGCCGTATAATAATTCTCAACTTCCTCACTATCATAAACATTTTTGTATTACTCAAATACACAACGTCCATAACTTCACGCCTAAGAGAGCAAATAAAAGGAACAAACATTTTCCAAAATGTATCCTTTTACAATTTCAAAGTAAAATTCTGCCACCGGTGGCGCCATAAAAACCTTTAACTTCACGATTTCTTAAGTTCCACCCTATTATTTATTTCATAACAATTTAGAACACTGATGTAAAAATTCATTCTCTTTGGCAGACTAATTTTTTCAATTCCAACATGTTTCGCATACAAAAGCTAATGATTGAGGAATACGAAGAGATTTACGAACCCATAATAGTTGAGAATCCTTTTACTCAGGTGACAGAAGATGGGATTGGATTGAGGCAATTTCACATTGGTAAGTAGTCATGGACTTCAAAAACCCCTAAAATTCCTCAAATATTATCCACCAAGGTTTGACACGTTCCAAACTTCTTTTTGGCTGTGATGATTTCGATAACATCGATTTGACGGATTTCCATGGCCAAGGAGGCAAAGATCCCGAAATTGAAACATTCGAATTGGTCAGCATGTTGCCGTTGGAATTTCTAAAATTGAATTTCTTTCGCAAACAACAACGTGACCTAATGCGAATTGTCGTTTGTGGTGACGAGGCGAGGCCAATGTTTTTTGAATTCGGCGGGCATTTTTATAAAAGGGTTTGCCAATTATTATAATTTTTTTTATTCTAGTATATTATGTTTTTTGTTATTTGTTTTTAGTTATTTTGGAATACATGGCGTGAACGGGTGTCTACTATCCGGTTATCTCAGCCAAATTTGTTTCACATAAATGCTTCATCGCCGTTCTCTAGCACCGATGTCCATGTCGAGGATGAAATTTGCCAGGCATTGATCCATACTAACTCGATACATTCCTATGGAGATGGCTCAAGGAGTTTATGTGCCAATAGTATTTAAATTCCTAGGATTTTAACTGTATATCTCTCTCTTTCTAAGTCTCCTCCTCTCTCTCTCCCCCTCTTCCAATGGAAATATAAATAAATGGAAAGTTATCGTCATAGTTAAAGTTAAGAACAAAGACAACTATGTGGCAAGTTAGGACCAAGTCGAGAAATCTCTTCGCTTAGTTTGTGATCTAAAAATGTTTCAAAAATAAAGGAGGTACTAGATAACTAGGGGCCGATACGGTCCTTTTTTGGAACTGGATGCCTTAAGGCTACACAACGACCTCCTGACCAAAACTCGTGAATTTTGAAAGCATTTTTCTTTTCAAAGAACGTTCTGAATAAATATTGCGATTTTTAGAAAAATGTCCTCATGTCCAACATATCTATGATATTTTTAAAATTATTTTTCCCACGACCTCCGGAACTGAAGATTTTTATGAATAAACATCTTCTAAAAAATTCAAGGACTTCCTGACAAAAATCGTATATTTTTAACATTTGTTGTCAAGGAACCAAATATCGTGAATTATTAAAAAAAATAGTGGTTTTAAAAAAAGGACATCCTGACCAAGAAATCATGGACTTTGAAGGTTTATTTTCAAAGAACTCTTGACTATAAATCGGGGATAATTTGAAGAAAATTTCTTCTTGTCCAACATATCTAGGATATTTTCCAAAGAACCTCGTGAACTAAGGATTTCAAGGACTTCCTGATAAAAATGTTGGATTTTCAAGTCTTTTTTCTTATTCAAAGGATCTTCGGAACAAATATTGTGATCTATTTTAAATGGCCTTCTGACAAAAAATCGAGAAATAATAATGAAAATCGTGGATTTTTTTAAGGACATCCTAACCAAGAAACCCTCGCCTTTTAATGTTTATTTTCAAACAACTCTTGAAAGTCTTGACCACATACCGTGGATAATTTTAAGAAAATTTCCTCACGCCTAATACATCTAGGATATTTTCAAGATTTTTTTTCTAGGACCTCCTGAACAAAGGATTTCATGAGTAAACACCTTTTACTTGAAGACAACAATTTTCAAGAACTTCCTGAAAGAGTATTGTATTTTTAATAAGGATTTAAATATCGTGAAATATTTTAAGAAACAAAATCGAGAATATCCTGACAAGAATGTTGATTTTTGATCAACAAATTTGGAACAAATATTGTAATTTTTTATAGAAAATTACCTTATGGTCAAAAAAAAATGTTTCGACTTTTAAGGATTATTTTCAAAGAACGCATCGTGGATAAATTTAAGAAAATTACCTCATTTCCAACAAATCTAGTATATTTTTAAGATTTTACTTTCCAGGACCTCCTGAACTAAGGATTTCATGACCAAACATTTTTGATTTTGAAGAAAAACATTTTCCAAAAATTCCTAACAAAAATCGTGTGTTTTTAAACATTCCCTTTGAAGAAACCAACTATCGAATATCCTCACAAAAGTCTACCATATTCTCTTTCTTTTTTTCAAGGTCCTTCGTTAATTAAACATTTAAGGATCTCCTAAAAGAATTTTTAAAAGCCGAGAACTTCTTAACTAATTTTCGTCAGTTTTAAAAAAAAGTTGATTTTTTATGGAATTCATGAACAAAAGTTATAGATATTTTTAAGAACTTCCCTTGAGGACCTTCCGACCAGAGATCATGTATTTCCTTTAACGATTTCATGAAAAAAATGTAGAATTTTGAAGAAAAATTTCCTTCTGACCAAAAAAACACTTATTTTTAAATAAGTTTTTAAGGAATTCATGACCAAATATCGTGAATTATTTAAAAAAATTGAAGATATCCTGACAAAAATCCTGGGTTTCTTAAGCATTTTTTAGAGACTACTTCAAAAAATAGAAAAAAGTCTTATTAAAAACTTAGGTTATTATATAAAAATTTAAAGAAATCCCGACCTAAAATTTCGGATTTTTTAGGATTTTTTAAGATTTTTTTCGAGGACCTCCTGATTAAACCTTTTAGTTTTTGTTAAGAACTTTTTCCAATTTTTTTTAAATTATTTTCTTTGAAAATTTTTACTTTTTGTGGGAGAGGTACCAGAATGAGTGGACCGATATTTTCCATCTTCCAACTCGATCTAACATTGATAATAATATTAAAATGTTTGGATCAAATCGGATACCAAAGAGTCCTGGAGTCTAAAGTCATTATTTCAATGAGACACATTTTGGCAGTATCAAATAATATATATCTCCTGTAGCCGTGGCTGAGGGTATAAAAAATATGGGCATCGTGGTTTTTATTTTACCCTACACCACAAGGTGGTCAGGGTTTTATGTCTTTGTGCATTTCTTTGTTTCAGCAAAATGAAGCGAGATAGACCCATAGTTCCTTTTGATGATCTGCATAGAATCACATTATGAATCGATTTATGCATGCCCGTCCGTCCGTCTGTCCATGTATTTTTGTAAACAAAGTACAGTTCGCATTTATTGTCCGATCCAGATGAAATATTGCACAAATCATTTGTTTGGCCCAAGGACGAACCTTATTGTAATTGGAGATAATCGGTCAAAATTTAGATATAGCTCCCATATATATCTTCGTTCGATTTACTTTTTATTGTGCACCAAACGTGTAATATCAGTCCGAATAGTATGGAATTTTGCACATACAACCGAATTAGGCCTGAAAATAAGTGTGCCAAATTTGATCGAAATTGGTTCAGATATAGCTATAGCTCCCATATATATTGTTCATCCAATTTGTTATTTTTGTCCTCCGCAGCCGTAATATGCGCTCTGTAACAACAATATTTGGAGAAATATATCAAATACAGCTCAGAAATACATTTGCTAAATGTTATCGAGATCGGTTCAGATTTGGATATAGCTCCCATATATAACTTCGTCCGATTTACCTTTTATTGTGCACCAAACGTCTAATATTTTTCGGAATGGGGTGGAATTTGGCACTTACGACCGAATTGAGTCTAGAAGCTAGTATGTCAAATCGGATCGGATGAAGATCGGTTCAGATATAGCTATAGCTCCCATATATACTGTTCATCCGATTTGTTATATTTGTTACCCACAGCCGTAATATGCACTTCGTAACAACGATATTCAGGGAAATATATCAAATAAAGCTCAGAAATATTTTTGCCAAATTTTATCAAGATCGGTTCAGATTTGGATATAGCTCCCATATATATCTTTATCCGATTTCAAATTAATTGTGCACCAAATGGGCAATACAATTCCGAATTTAAAGATACAAATGCTTCGGCATATTTAGTCCTTTGAACTTTAAATTATAATTATAATCATAGCGTGTATGATTGAATTCTCCCATAAAAACTTTTAATTGTTATGTGGAGCTCTACTTAATTAGCAAAGTGGTGTAGGGTATCATAAAGTCGGCCCCGCCCGACTTTAAGACTTTCTTTACTGGTTTTTACTTGTTTTTTTTTTTTAAATTAAGGGACATATTCATGGATTCTTAAGATTTTTATTCAAGGACTTATTTTCGCTGGATTTAAGTAAAATATAATTTCTTTTTTTGAGGACTTCCGGAACAAAAATCAGTAATTTCATTCAATTATTAAATGATTAAAAACTGTTTATTTTTATTGGAAAACAAAAAATCATGACCCAAAAATCGAGTTTTTTTTCATTGAATTTTATAAAACATTACGTATAATCAATGCTTTAAAAAATATGTTTAAAACGCCTAGACAAAAATTGTTTAGCAATTTAGACGACATAACAAATATTCTGTAAGAATTCAGAAAAAATATTCTTTAAAATCTATACTTTGAAAAATATATTCTGTAAAAATCCACACCAAAAATATTCTGTAAAGTCCAAGCAAAAAATATTCTGAAAAAAATAAATACGTATTCGTATGGCCTCATATAACAGGTAACAGTTTTCAAAATCATAGCGGCATTTTTCAACGGAATTTTTTTTAACATTCTGCAAGTTTCCTATTTTTTATTAAATTTTGTCAATGACTTCCTGGTAAAAAATAACACCGAAAATATAGCCACCATACAACGGAATTTCCAAATTTTAGATATTTTGCAAAAAAATATTCTATAAGAATCCATGTCTATACCTAAACATATTCCGTAAAATCCTCACCTTTATATAATATAATATTTTCTTAATTTCCACACCTTAAATCAACGCCTTAAAAGAAATATTTTGCATGCATTTGCGCATTGAAATAAATATTAAAAAATCTATAAAAAAAAATCTAAAATCTCCGCCTTCGAAGATTTAAAATGTTTAAAAATTCACGACTTTGAAAACCCCACGATTTTGATTGGTATATATTCGTATGTAGTCGGCAAACCGACTTAAAGTTTTCATTTGTTAATTATGGAATTATTTATTATTTTTTTAATTATTATTGTTCATATAACCATAATAAGGATCATTGTTTATGCGTATTTACAAAATCTTTATTAATATATCATAATACAAGCAACATGCAGATATTCACAGAAAATATAAAAAAATCACGAGAATTTCTCACAAACAAAACAATTTTCCAATACTCCAGTTGAATTTCTATTTCAAATTTCGAAATCTCCATATGCATATATCAAGAAATCCCAACCACCATCATCAATATTTTACCATTGTCAAATAACTGCTGCGATCAAAACGTTTACTAGCCAACATTGCACTTAAATTCGCTGTTGCCAAGGCCAAAGGTCCATTTGAACGATCCGGTAGGGTAGACGACTCCGATGTGGAGGGCGTAACTATAAGATCAGCTGTAGAGAGGCGATGCGGTATGGTGGAAGGAGAAATTATATTGCCATATTCAGTGGAGGTTAAATTACGCTTTGGTTCCACGAGAGTTTTCATGTTTGTCACATTTTTGGTAGAATGGCGCCCAACGTTTAAGCCTTTGTTATTTGCATTTATTTTTAACTCAGCTACTTGTTGGCTTTTGGATTTTTCTAAATTTCTTACATTATTAGTCGAACGTGGTTTGGGTGAATCATGAATTAAACCCAACTTTTTCATGCGATTGCGCCTATGCCATTCTTTTAATTCCGAATTTACAAAATCCACCTCATTTGTGGGAGAGTGTTTGAAAAAACCACCATCACCACTTTTATTTAAGCGAGGTTTCTCGGGCAGAG